ATGGGACAATTTAGCACGGCCAACCCACCCTAACCTGCACATCCCCGGGCACTATGGGACAATTTAGCACGGCCAATCCACCCTAACCCGCACATCCCTGGGCACTATGGGACAATTTAGCACAGCCAATCCAAATGGTTTATGTAAATGACAAACAGGCGGACCTCGTACCGATCCCTGTGCAACACCGCTAGGTACAGGCCTCCCCCACCCTGTGTCTCCTGCCGTCAAGCCCATTTTTGTACTCAGTTGGCCAACTCTTCCCCGGATCGCGTCTCTCGGGCTGGTCGTCGGGAGGAATCACGAGCAGCTGTGTGCGTCTCTGTTCCCTCCCCGCCCCGCTGCAGATCGAGTCGGAGGTGGGGAAGAAGACGGTGGGGAACCTGGAGAAGATCCTGGCTGACAACAAAGCCATCAAAGAGGATAACAGCGTGCTGCAGGCCAAACTGAAAGAGTGCTGATTCTGTGCTGGGGGGAGTTGGGGGAGCGGTGGGGAGGACACGGTGCCACGACCCCCCCACCGTCTTCGTTGGGGGCACCAGCCCGGCTGCCCCCCCCCCCCCCCCCCCCACAAGACGAGCCTCAATGGCCCTCGCTCCGTCTTTTCAGTCGCTTTTTCTCCTCCCCGCCCACCTCCTGTTCCCTGTCGGTCTCTCGTTCCCTCCATCTCGCTCTCGATCGATGTGTGTAACAGTCCCGAGACGGAACAAAATAAAGTCCTCCTGAACTTGCTGTCGGTGTCTTCCTGTGTCTTGCCCCCACCTTTCCCGTCCCTGCCAGCGGGTCGGATGGCACTGCGCTGAATGGAGTGGGGGTGAGGGGGCAGGGGGCAGCAGCTGCTGACCTGTGTTTGCAGCTCGGCGTTGGAACAAGGCTGGGATTTTTCTCGGGGTCCCCCCCACCCCCCCTTACCGTTACAGCCTCGAGAGCAGTTTGTGAACGTCAGTGGGGGGAACACCCTCCTGTGTTATAAGCCATGCCATTTGTGTGTGTGTGTGTGTGTGTGTGTGTGTGTGTGGGGTGGGGGGAGACACGGAGAGAGGGGGGGTGGTAGATATTACCCCTCCAGCCCATGGTGGTGTTGGGGGGGCGAGCGCTGTTTCCCTGCACACACCCCTCCCCTGGTCCTCTGGCTCAAGGGGGTGAGGGGGGAGGAAAACGCTGTTTCCCTGACCCCCCTGGTCCTCTGGCTCACGGGGGTAGGGGGCGGGAAATGCGTTTCCCTGACCCCCCGGTCCTCTGGCTCACGGGGGTGGGGGGGTAGGTGCTGTTTCCATGAACCCCGATCCTCTGGCTCACGGGGGTGGGGGTGGAAACGCTATTTCCCTGACCCTCTGGCTTACAGGGGTGGGGGTGGAAACGCTATTTCCCTGACCCTCTGGCTCACGGGGGTGGGAGGGTGTTGTTTCCCTGACCCCCTGGCTCGTGGGGGTGGGCACTGTTTCCATGACCCCCTCGTCCTCTGGCTCACGGTGGTGGGGGTGGTCGTTGCTTCCCTGACCCCCTGGTCCTCCCGCTCACGGGGTTGGGGCTAATTTCTTTAGTGATCCAGGGACCAGCGAGGGGTTGCAAAGTGAGTGAGTGTCCTGAAGCTAGCGATCCATGGTGTAAAGGTCCTGAGGCGAGAAAATCCCGTGATCAGAGGTTGATAGAATCGTGATTCCCAAGTCTAGAGATGGGGCCAGAGGCTGTTGATGTGCCCGGCGCCCGGCGGGCCAGAGGCTGTTGATGTGCCCCGCGCCCGGCGAGCCAGAGGCTGTTGATGTGCCCCGAGCCTGGTGCTCTTGTGCCCCGTCCCCTCCACATACACACAGGCTGCAGTCTCTCTCCTGCCCTCTGAGCTGTGCCCTGTCCCCTGCACATAGCCACAGACAGACGCAGACTGCATCCTCTCTCCTCCTCCTGGATTTGTCACTGCAGATATTCATAGACTGCAATCTCACTCTCTCGCTGTAGATCCTGCTCCCAGGGCCGTGCCTGCTTCCCTGCAGTTGCTAATAAATAGAGGCTGCTGTGTGTGTCTCTCTTTCCCCCCCCCCCCTCTCTCTCTCTCTCTCTCTCTCTCTCTGTCAATCTCTGTGTGTGTGGTGTCTGTCTCTCTCTCTCCCGCTCTCTCCGTCCCTCCTTCTCTTACCCCCTCTCTCCCCCCCTCTCCCCGTCCGTCCCTCCCTCTCTCTTCCCCCCCTCTCTGTGTGTGTGGTGTCTCTCTCTCTCCCCCTTTCTCTCTGTGTGTGTGGTGTCTCTCGCTGTCTCTCTCTCTCTCTCTCTCTCCGTCTCTCTGCCCCCTCCCTCCCTGCTTCAGGACGCTACCAGCCCACCATGAGCAATTCTCTCAGCCTGCCGCTCCCCGAACGCCAGGACGAAGAGGAAGATGACGAGGAGGACGTGGAGAGGACCTACCGGCTCCGCCTGATCCCCCGCTCGTCCCCCACCCCCCGCAAGCGATCGCCGGCCTGCGACGATCCCGGAGAGGCTCCCCCGGGGAGGAAGGTCTCTTTCGCTGATGCCCGGGGCTTGGAGTTGGCGCGGATCCGTTATTTCCAGCAATTCCCGGAACCCGAGAAGGAAGAGGTCACCCGGACCGGACCGGCCTTCCGGCTGTGCCCGGCCTTCGGCCTGGCACCGGCGGAGCAGCTCCTCGACCTGGTGAGGCGGCGCAAGGTGGAGCTGGAAAGCGTCCGGTGCCCGCCCGACGACCCGCTCTCGGTGCACTGCCTGGCCCGGGTCCTCAACCTCTCCTACCAGAAGGTGGTGCAGGCCCGCTGCACCGTGGACGAGTGGGCCACCCACTTCGACCACCCGGCCGACTACGTGCCCGGCTCCTCGGATGGCACCAGCGACCAGTTCGCCTTCCGCCTCCCCCTCCCAAGCATCTGTGCCCACGACGGTGCCAGGCTCCACTTTGTGCTGCGCTACGAGACCCCCGGCGGCGTCTACTGGGCCAACAACGGTGGGGCCAACTACACGGTGGTCTGTCGGGCAGCGGAGGGGACGGGCAAAGAGGCACCACCACCCCAGGGCACGGCCACCTGCCTCAAGAGCTGCCTCAAGGCGACACCGCGCAGGTAAAGGGGCGTTCGGGGTGTCCTGAAGTAACCGTGTTCCTCGTTAGACCTCTACGATGCAGGCCATTCAGCCCCTCCGCTCCCCTTCCTGTCAACAAATCTCAGCCTCGAATATAACCCCTCGATCCCCCTTCCCGATTAAACGTCTCAGCGACCCAGCCCCGACAGCCCTCTGCGGTAAAGAATTCCACAGAC